GGGCACACAGTGAGTGCCCTGTACATGCCATGCTGGGCACACAGTGAGTGCCCTGTACATGCCATGCTGGGCACACAGTGAGTGCCCTGTACATGGCGCTTTCCTTCCCAAGTTGGCCTACAGCTGGGTGCTTATTGGTAGGTGTCGTGTGGGAACCCCTGTCAGTCTGGAAGGGCCTGCCGTGGCAGGGGGGCCACAGTTTCTGCTTGAAGCGTGGAGTCGTCGATCGGCCAAGTCCTTGGGACCTCGTGTGCAGAAGTCGGCCCTTGTCCAGCCTGTGATCGTCCTTAGCCCGGGGCTCTTAGTACAGTCGCATGTCGCTTGAGCAAGTCCCGGCCCCCCGGGGCCCAGGCCCACGACAGTGGCCGACCACACGGCCGAGGCGCCTGCTGGCCACCCCGCTCCGCTCTGTGCCATGGTCCTGCTCCCGGTGAAGTCAGCCGACAATGATTTCTAAAGACTTAGCCCCTCTGTGACGTGACAGGTGGCCCCACCGAGGCACAGAGTGGGTGCTTGGGAAGGGGCAGCAGTCAGCACTGCGTGAGGGCCCTCGTGCAGGCCCTCCACAGAGTGGCGGCTTCCTAGGGAGGCACCGTCCCTGTTTCCTTACGAAAGCCCCGGCACAGCGACCACTTGCTGTGTGCCCGGCAGAGGCCAGCCATGAGGATGGCCGCCCCGCGCGGGTGCCCAATAACACCATGTGCCCTCGGCCCGCAGCAGGCTTGGCATGGGGCGTGGCGAGGCGCTCACAGAAGAGCTGCAGCCCGCGAAGATCAGGACGCGCAGGTGTGCGGGGCCGAGCCAGGCACCTTCACCCTGCATCAGGCGTCACTTTCGAGGTTTCAGTCAATGAGGGGCCCCCATGGGGTGTCCTGGTAGGCTGCACCATGTGCCTGGGGGTGCAGCAGGCTCTGCTCTCCGGATCTGTAATTACTCGCTGATGTTTGTGCAGCGAAATCACCCAACTTCGAATGTCCCAGAACACGGCCCAGCATAAGTCACATGCACTGTAGAGGGCCAGTGGCGTGCGAACTGGCACACAGGAGGCACCCAGGACTGGCAGCGTTTTCTCCTCAAGTGAGGCTGGGAGGGCAGTCCTGCTTGCAGTGACCCTTTGGGGTGGCTTTCTGGGACCCCTAGTAGAGCAGGTGTTCTGTAAACAGGTGGTTTCAGCACTGACCCGCACACAGTAGGTGCCCCACAGTGGGGCCTGCACTGCCGCTCCCTGGCACAGAATTGGTGTTCACCAATTGGCAGTTCAGTGCCATGGCCACCATCCTGTGAAGCTCGCAGTGCCGTGACACACGTAGCAATCACCAGTGAGCGGGACTTTCTGTTGCCTGAAGACACTGTTTCTGTCGCCCTCGAGACGGCACTGGCACAGCACCCAGCACACAGTAGGTGCGGGAGAATTCGTGCACTAGCCTGCCGTTGCCTGGTACTGTGCTCGGCTCCCAGCAGGCACCCGTTAGTGGGCTGGCGCCACCCTTCCCTGGCACACGTGGGCGTGTGGCAGGTAAATGCATTCGCCGCTGCTCTGACGCCCTCAGCACCAGGCCCACCCCACAGTCGGTGCCCGCGGTGGGCCCTCCATCGTCACGTGGTGCGGCGCTGATGACAGGTGGTGGGACAGTACGTGCACTTCCCTGGCACGCTGGTGCTATGCCCGGCGCAGTCGGGGCCCAGTAAATGCGGCTCTTACTGCCGAGCCTCTGGCGGCGTCTAGCGCACAGTAGGTGCTCACGAAATAAGACCATTTACTGGGTTTCTCGAAGCCCTCGGTGCTGTGCCGAACACGCAGTCCGTGCGCCGAGCGGGGCTTTTACTGCCGTCCCGTCACACCGCGCCTCGCACATCACTGTGCCCCCGTGGGGCTCGTGCCTGGCCACTACCGAAGACCTACTGTGTGCTGGGCGGGCGCGGCCAGCCAGCGCGGCAAGCAGAGTTCTTGGCCAGCCCTCCCACCCCCTCACCTGCCCATCCATCTCACCTTCGGTTGCCACCTGCTTCTTTTGGGTTCGCCTTCTCTTTGCTTTGGTTCTGTTTTGTTTGTTATCATCTTCTTTTTTATTTTCTCTTTCCCATCTTTTGTTTCCCCACCCCCTCCCTGCCCATCCTGCCTCCCTTCCCCACCCCCACGTTCTCCCCCAATAGAACCGTCCGCCCCCCCTCAAGACGTTAAATGTGTCAGCACGCGTTCCACGGCCATTTTGGTAAGTTGGCGCCCACCGCCGCCGGAAACGCACAACGGGGCCCTGGTGAGCTATAGCGTCCGCTACCGACCGCTGGGCTCAGAGGACCCGCAGCCCAAGGAGGTGAACGGCATCCCCCCGACCACCACTCAGATCCTGCTGGAGGCGCTGGACAAGTGGACGGAGTACCGCATCACGACTGTCGCTCACACAGAGGTGGGGCCAGGGCCCGAGAGCTCGCCCGTGGTCATCCGCACCGACGAGGACGGTAAGCACTGGCCCCGCCCGGGACCCCCGAAGACTGCAGCCCAGTCCCCGCCTCGGAAACTTCTGTCTGGAAAACTGGGCTGGCTGGTGGTCAGGGGTAGACGCCACAGCATGACAGGGAGACGCGTGAGGCAAGCAGCTGCCGCGCGGAGTCCCGGGCTCCCCGGGCTCCCTGGGCTCCCCGGCCTCGCAGCCCTCCGCCCGGGCCCAGGCGGCCTCTCCTGAGCCTTGAGCCTGCAGAGTTAAGCTGGCAGCACTGGGCCACTGGTGCAGACCACGGAAACGGAGTGTGAGCAGCAGCAAGGGGCACTTGCCGCCCAATTAGGGCCCCGTGACCCCAGAAACCGGCGTTCAGGGTGGGCCTCGCAGCTCCCTGTCCGGCCACCCGCCTGCAGGGCAGCTAGGCTGAGGCTGTGGGACAACTGTCCCTCTGGACCAGAGGCCGGGGCTGGAGTATCGGCCAGTTTCTGTGGTGTAAATGTTGCCTCGAGGCCGAACGTTTTAAGCTGCAAAATGTGGGGGCTGGAGGCTAGTCTTGGGGAGCAGCCAAGGCACAGAGAAATGGGGCATCGTCTCCCCAGTACCGCTCGGCCTCTGTCCGGAGCTTGTTGGTTCTCTGGAAGGCTTGCTGGGCACACCCCGAGTAAGGCCTATGCGTGGGGAAGAGTGGTGTGTGCCAGGCCTTTGGGGTGGGACAGCTGCAGCCTGGGGATGCTGAGAAGGATCCCCGATGTAGTGGCAGGCCGTCTTCTGGGCTATGTGAGAGCATCCTGGCGCTGCCTGTACTAACCCTGAGATCATGGACTCCGCACTCTGGGCCTCAGTTTCCCCACTGTAAAAAGACCATAAGAGCCCCCATCTGGAAGGGCTGAAGACAGTGTGGGGACAGCTCCGAGAACAGCTTCCTTGGCTCACGCATGCCCCGAGGCTCGGGCAGGTGGTTTAGGCTCTGGGGGGCCCGCGCCGCAGTACCGCCCGTCCGTGAGTGGGCGCACGGCATCAGGGCCAGACAACCGGCAGCCACTTGGCACCCTGGCATCGGGCAGTGGTGCTGCCCCG